TTTTATATATAAATTAATAAATATATTTTTATATAAATAGATACTTAAATATAGAAACTCTTTGCACATTTAAAAGTAGTATAGATAAAAAAAAATTATATCAATTAATAAATATTTTTTTATATAAATAAATAAATACTGAAACACTTTGGTAGAGCTTCTGTATTTTACTCTAAAAATTATATTTTATTTTATTAAAAAATTGTAATATGTAATACGTGTTAGAGTGTTATAGAAAATATTTTAAAACTCTTTTTATTTGAATTAATAAATGTTTTTAAATTTTAATAATTACTATCTAATTAGATTAGGTTTTATTAAAAAAAAAACTCATAATTAAAGGTAATTTGTGGTAAAGTTTTAGAAAAATTATTTTATTGTTTATATCAATTAAAAATATTTTTTATATTTATTATTCTTGACTAATTAGATTTTATTTTATTAAAAAACTTATAATATAAAAATAAGTAATTTGTGTTAGAGTTTAATATAAAATCTTTTAAAAACTCTTTTTATATCAATTAATAAATATTTTTTATTTTAATAATTGTTGTCTAATTAGATTTAGTTTTATTAAAAAAAACTCATAATAAATAGATAAAAAGGTAATTTGTGTTAGAGTTTTTTAAAAACTCTTTTGAAACCTCTTTTTGTATTAGTTAATAAATAATTTTTTTATATTAATAATACTTGTCTAATTAGGTTTCCTTTTATTAAAAAACTCATAATAATAATAATACTTGTCTAATTAGGTTTCCTTTTATTAAAAAACTTATAATAAATAGATAAATTGGTAATTTATTTTAGAGTTTAATAGAAAGTCTGTTGAGTTTTATTGAAAATAAAATAGGTAATTTGTAATAGGGTTTTATATAAATTATTTTATTTTCTTTAAATATAATATAAACTTATCTAATTAGATTAAATTTTATTATGAAACGCATAATAAAAACTAATTTGTGGTAGAGTTTTATAAAAATTATTTTATTTTATATATCAATTAATAAATAATTTTTATATTAATAATTTTTGTCTAATTAGATTTTCATTTTTAAAAAAATTGATAATAATAAATAGATAAATAGGTTAATTTAAATTTTATTATGTATGTTTTAGTGTATTATAATATCATTTAATAAATATTTTTTTTATATAAATAAATAAATACTGAAACTCTTTGACAGAGTTTCTGTATTTTACTCTAGAATTCAACTCTTTTTACTCTGAAACTCTGAATTTTTAGAATTCTCAATTTCTGTACCCCTTCATATTTCCTCCATGCCTCTATTTATAGGCTTCTTAGATGAATAGGATGATGACATGTGTCCTTTTCTGGTAATGACATAATCATAACTGGGCCGGGCCAGTTATATTGTGATAATTATTCATAAAAAAAAAAAAACTAAAAATAAGATTTTTATATGGAATGTGATTGATTTTATTAGGTAATTTTTAGAGTTTTATAGAAACTATAATTATTCATAAAAAATATCTAAAAATAAGAGTTTTATATAGAATGCGATTGATTTTATTAGGTAAATTAGATTTTCTTTTATTAAAAAACTTTTAGTAAATAAATAAATAGGTAATTTGTGTTAGAGTTTAATAAAAACTCTTTTAAAAACTCTTTTTATATCAATTAATAAATATTTTTTATTTTTATAATTCTTGTCTAATTGGATTTAATTTTATTAAGAAACTCATAATAAATAGATAAATAGGTAATTTGTGTTAGAGTTTTTTAAAAACTCTTTTAAAACCTCTTTCTGTATCAATTAATAAATAATTTTTTATATTAATAATAATTGTCTAATTAGGTTTCCTTTTATTTGAAAACTCATAATAAATTGATAAATATGTAATTTGTGTTAGAGTTTTATAGAAACTTTTTAAATATATATTTGTTGATAGAGTTTTATTGATAATAGAATAGGTAATTTGTAATAGAGTTTTATAGAAATTATTTTATTTTCATATCATTTAATAAATATTTTTTTATATAAATAAATAAATACTAAAACTCTTTGACAGAGTTTCTGGATTTTACTCTAGAATTCAACTCTTTTTAGATTAATTAATAAATATTGTTTTATATAAATAAATAAATATTGAAACTTTTTGGCAGAACTTCTGTATTTTACCCTGAAATTCTAGATTTCTAGAATTCTCAATTTTTGTACCCCTTCCTCCTTCCTCCATGACTTTATTTATAGACTTTTGGATGAATAAGATGATAACATGTGTCATTTTCTGATAATGATATAATCATAACTGGGCCAGGCCGGTTATACTGTGATAATTATACATAAAAAAAATAAGTAAAGATAAGAGTTTTATATAAAATGTGATTGATTTTATTAGGTAATTTTTAGAGTTTTATAGAAACTATAATTATCCATAAAAAATAACTAAAAATAAGAGTTTTATATAGAATGTAATTGATTTTATTTGGTAATTTTTAAAGTTTTATAGAAATTATTTGTACCAAAATTATTTTTATATCAATTAATAAATATTTTTTATTTTTATAATTCTTGTCTAATTTGTGATAGATAAACAGGTAATTTGTGTTAGAGTTTTTAAAAAACTTTAGGTTTCCTTTTATTAGAAAACTCATAATGAATTGATAAATAGGTAATTTGTGTTAGAGTTTTATAGAAACTCTTTAAATATATCTTTGTTGATAAAGTTTTATTGATAATAGAATAGCTAATTTGTAATAGAGTTTTATAGAAATTATTTTATTTTATTTTCATATCATTTAATAAATATTTTTATATATAAATAAATAAATACTGAAACTCTTTACACATCGTATAAATAAAAACTCTTTGACAGAGCTTCTGTATTTTACTCTGGAATTCAACTATTTTTATATCAATTAATAAATATTGTTTTATATAAATAAATAAATAAATACTGAAACTCTTTGGCAGAATTTCTGTATTTTAGTCTGGAATTCTGAATTTCTAGAATTCTCAATTTCTATACCCCTTCCTCCTTTCTCCATGCCTTTATTTATAGGCTTCTTGGATGAATAGGATGATGACATGTGTCATTTTCTGATGATGACATGTGACTGGGCCGGGCCGGTTATATTGTGATAATTATCCATAAAAATAAGTAAAGATAAGAGTTTTATATAGAATGTGATTGATTTTATTAGGTAATTTTTAGAGTTTTATAGAAACTATAATTATCCATAAAAAAATAACTAAAAATAAGAGTTTTATATAGAATGTGATTGATTTTGTTTGGTAATTTTTATTACAAACACTATTTTTATATCAATTAATAAATATTTTTTTATATAAATACTGAAATACTGAAACACTTTGCACATTTAATAATAAATATTTTTTTATATAAATACTGAAATAGAAACACTGAAACACTTTGCACATTTAATAATAGTATAGATATAGATATATATATTACCTAAAAGAAAAATATTTTCCCAAAAATATCACGGTAGAAACAAACGGAGCTTGTGTTGAATGTAGTGTTTGTCACTTAAACTCTATTTGTTTGGATGTAAAATAGTAAAATATTTTCTAAACACTCTCCCTGTTACTTTCTCTCTCTACACTGAACCATTCATCCCTCTCATCGTTACTTTCTCTCTCCACCCTCTCTTTATCAATACATGCTCTCGACCTAAATTTGTTTCTCAGCCAACCCACTCTATATATACATATAGAGTGAGAAGACCGAAGATAAGAATACAGATGACTAGATGAACCAAGATAACTTGTGAAAAATAACTTAAATAAATTTTTTTGATAAATCATTTTCAGTCATTTAAGTGTAAAATAATTTACACAAAAAATAATTTTCTAACTTTAGAGTCTCTCCCAAACTCTGAAAAATGAAAAAAAAAAAAAAAATTCTGTCAAATAGTTTATGTTGAAACAATCAAACCTTAATCCATTGAGAAATAATTGCTTAATTAGATTATTAAAATGACAATCTAAGAAAATGGGTGATGGAGATCAAAGATTCCATTTTGGTTACGGTAAAAGATTGATGTTTTGCTTTTCGCTATGAATTATTTTCTCCAACTTTGATGTATCATGGCTCACACTTTTTTAAAGGTCAGCCTTTTGGTAAAGCATGTCTGAATTCTTTTCTCCAACTTTGATGTATCATGGCTCTCACTTTTTTAAAGCTCACCCTTTCGGTAAACCTTGTCTGAATTATTTTCTCCAACTTCGATGTATCATGGCTCACACTTTTTTAAAGTTCTGCCTTTTGGTAAAGCATGTCTAAAGCTTTACTTTTGGTAAAGAACTCTAATGACTTTTGAAAGTTTCCGTCAACTTTCTCTATCTTGAATTTGATTAGGAAGACTACGCGGTTTGGGAACCGCTTTTATTTTGTGCTTTTATTGTGTTCTAGAATGTATTTAATATTATTTTGAAATTTATTTGGTAATGTAAATTTATTATAAAAATTTTAAAAATAAAAATATAAAAACATATTTAGTAAAACAATGTTATTAGTTTGAAAATTAAATAATTAGTTAAAAATATCATTTTAGAGATTTTTTATTATTATTATTATTTTAAACAGTGACTGCAATGTGGAAGCAACCAAAACTATCAATTTTATACTTTTGGTTGGTTTCTTTTTCATAAGCACTTAGGCAGTATTTAAATGACAGCAAACATTATTAAATATACTTTATATTTTTGCTTCGCTAATGTACACAAAGACAAAAAATACGAAACAAAAACAGTTGTCAAACAGATGCCATGTATATTAATATTAATAAAATTCTTGCTATTTTTTAAATTACCCAATTCAACGTGAGTTCAACTCGAGTCTATCCCTAGCCTAAACCAAGCTGAGAAGAATTTATATGGATTATGCTTGGTTTGAGTTGAGGATCTTATTCACCAGTCATGTTGCATCCCTAATCAAACATGTAATGAATTTTATTTAAGAAAAATACAATAGAGCCATTTTTTATTTTTATTTTTAAATGTGTGCCTAAGGTAATTCCTTTAATTCGATCTCATTCTTGATCCCCTGTTGTACATTTTCTAGTACTGTCCACATGCACGAGGTGTTGAAGCCTCTAAATAATCGTCTTGCAGGTCCGTTGTACATTTATAATATTGGCTTGTCTGTAGGTACTATCAATCTTTTAATTAATTCCAAACTTCTCTTCCCTTATGCAAAATCAGATAAAATATTAGTAGAAAAAGCAAAACCAAGCCCAAAAAAGAAAAAATAAAAAATAAATGTTTTTCTTAGAAATAGGGGTTTTATAAACAATAGGATCTGTATGCAACTAATTTCTGTCCCTCTCTCATGGCCGATGCACCTGGAGTAAGGTTTTTACTTCTGTTTCTACTTTCAACAGCTCTAGAAGCTGGGCAGAATCCCTCTAATACGATAAGCTTGGGTTCTTCACTCTCTCCCAACGCTTCGCACAAATCGTGGCTCTCACCATCTGGCCTCTTCGCATTTGGTTTCTACCCAAAAGGCAAAGGATTTGCAGTTGGAATATGGCTGGCTAGTAAGCCTGCAACCACTGTTGTCTGGACTGCAAACCGAGACGACCCACCACTCTCCTCAAACACCACACTTGAGTTCACCAAATACAGTGGGCTTTTCCTTTGGACCCGGAAAGGGGAAGGAAAATCAATTACATATGATCTCGATGAGGATGCAGTTTCAGCTTCTATGCTTGATACTGGTAATTTTGTGATCTACAACAATCAATCCAACGTTACCTGGCAAAGCTTCGATTACCCAACAGATACTCTATTAGGCAGTCAGTATCTGGATTATGGCGAAGAGTTGCTTTCCAGTGTATCGACAACAGATCAGTCAAGTGGACGGTTTCATCTCAGAATGCAAAGTGACGGAAATCTTGTTGCGTTCCCTGTCAACAGTTCTGAGGAAACTAGAGACTCTTATTGGCAAACACACACGGAGACTTTTGGTAGAGATTATTCTGAATACATTGTGTTAGATCTCAACAGTAGAGGCCTTCTATGTTTACGCAATTCTTCTGGTGGTATTTGTGTGCACACTCTAGTTAACAGCTCATATTCTGGCAATAACAAGACGATAATTTACCGTGCAACACTTGATGCTGATGGAAATTTTAGGCTATACTCCCATAGCTTTGGGATCGGTAATAACTCTACCGGGTTGAAACAGTGGTCGGCATTGCAAAACCAATGTGATGTTAAAGGAATCTGTGGTGTTAACAGCTTCTGCTCGAGCACTGATCATTCCATAGCCAATTGTTCTTGCTTTCCTGGTTTCACTTTTCTCAACCACGATAAGATGTTCCTGGGCTGCTACCAGAGTTTCATCGATGATGAAGGTTGCACAAGGAAAGACCCAACATCGATCTACAACATCACTGTTTTAAGAAATGGGGAGTGGGCTGGCTATCCTTATTCTGTGATCTTGACAAATAAGGAAGAAGATTGTGGTCGGTCTTGCCTGGAAGATTGTAATTGTTGGGCAGCTCTGTATCTGAATCATACTTGCAAAAAGCATAAGCTTCCATTGTTATATGGAGTTTCAAAACCAAATGAGTCAATCACGGGCTTCATCAAGATTGGAACTGCCCAAATTGCAGGCCATAACCCCTCAGTTCCAGGGAGCCATCCTTCAAATTCAAGGAATCTGAAGGTTGTGGCTGAAAAAAAGAAAGCACTTATTCTGATTCTAGCTGTGAGTTTGGGTTGCCTTGCATTATTGTGTTCTGTCATTGCAATCTATAGTTTTTTAATCTATATACGTCGAGTTCATAGATACAGAAGACTGTCTGGAAATTCAAGTTTGGGCTTAAATGGAGAGTTTACTCTACGATCGTTTTCTTATAGTGAGCTTGAGAAAGCTACAAATGGGTTTAAGGAAGAGTTGGGTAGGAATTCTTTTGGGGCAGTGTATAAAGGGGCTGTATTTGATGCCGAGGGTAAAAAGATCGTTGTTGTAAAGAGACTGGAAAGAGTTGTGGAAGAAAGCGAAAGAGAGTTTCAAGCAGAAATGACCGCAATTGGGCAGACTCATCACAGGAACTTGGTTCGATTACTTGGTTTTTGCATAGAAGGCGCTAGCAAGCTTCTTGTTTATGAATTCATGAACAATGGCTCGCTGGCAAATCTTCTCTTCAAGGTTGAAAGGCGCCCGAGTTGGAAAGAAAGAGTGAAAATTGCAATGGACGTAGCAAGAGGGATTTTATATCTACATGAAGAGTGTGAGACCCGTATAATCCACTGCAACATAAAGCCTCAAAATATACTTATGGACGATTCTTGGACAGCCAAGATATCTGATTTTGGATTAGCAAAAGTTTTGATGCCAAATCAAACTGGAACCCTCACTGGGGTCAGAGGGACAAGAGGATATTTGGCACCCGAATGGCACAGAAACACCCTGATATCAGAGAAGGCAGACGTTTATAGCTTCGGAGTTGTGCTGTTGGAGATCATATGTTGCAGAAGTAACATGGAGGTTAATGTGTCTACAGTGGACGAGGTACTTCTTATTGATTGGGTATATGATTGCTTTGCGGCTAGAGAGTTGGAAAAGCTTGTGGGAGAAGAAGAAGTAGACATGAAGACCCTGGAAAGGATGGTGAAGGTTGGATTGCGGTGTATTCAAGATAATCCAAGTCTGCGTCCCTCGATGAAGAATGTGATCCTCATGTTAGAAGGCACTATGGATATACCGGTCTCTCCATCACCAACTGCTTCCACTGTGATGGTTTGATATATAACTTCTATTACATAAAATAAAGTGTTCTCTGAATGTGAAATAGAAAGTTGTTATATATCTAGGTCATCAATGGAACCATATACTAAATAAAGATATGTTAAATTGCTGCATATCGAGCTTAAGATACGTTAGTAAAGATATGTTCATTTCCTTTTCTTTCCTCACATCCTTGACAGGATAGACTAGGCAAAACCACTTGAGGCACTAGTATATTCTTAACAAAGATAGGATAAAACTGATAAATGTCACAGCACTTGGCCATTAGACTCAAAATAGATCTCATCACCAAGAGTTCTAACTATTGCTAGGAAAGAGCGGGAAAATACTTAGCCATCAGCATAGTGAGCATTGAATAACCAAAACAGTTCATCATTTTCCAATGCTCTTCTAGTTCCAGGTAAGCTATGCAGAAATGTAATGAATGTAACGACCCTAACTGATGTCAAAATTTTAAAAAAAATTCAGCATAACCTCCCCTAAAAATGGGCCTTCAACAACCTGTCCCAATACACAAAGCACATAAAATCATCCAGCATCCCATTCATCCGTTCATTATACCTCAACATAGTTCCTCTCATGGTGGAACATCCACACACCAATTAATCTAAATTATCATAATTACAGTCCCAAAATACATGGTTAAGATTTAAAATCCCTGTCTTACAATGTTACATGATACAATTACATGAAAACATATACCATAATTTCATTAGTTTCATTTATATCAAACAAAAGATAAGTTCGTTCTTAAGTTACAAGGCCATGAATACTAACTTAGTTACATTTCCACAACTACGAATATACATAGAACGGTCAAAATACAAAATAGCAAACAACCTTCTAACAACTTTCAAGCTTGAGGTGGATTGTCGTCCACCAGTTCATTTCCAAGACCTGAAAAAAATAATATAAATAGTAGGGTGAGCATAAAGCTCAGCAGGTGACACTTAAGACACACATCTTGTGTCCTTATGAATCCAAACAAAGCATAGGCCAATGGGAAATGGGGATCATACAATGTCGGGAAATAATACAGCATAACGATTCAATCTCAAGTATATCCAATGCAATGGTATGAGATGCAATGCATGCTAGTGTCGCTCCCCATTTTCATAATCCAAAACATTGTTTCCAAACTGTTAATACAGTCCGCCCTTTGGTAGCCTCGCCGCGACACGAGAGGAGGATTGGCTAGTGTCCCTGACCCTTGGTAACCCCGCGGCGTCATTATGGGGCCCAGCTAGCTCAACCACGCTAGGGCGACTTCCTAGTCCCTTCTAGGCTATATTAACCTCCGGCCCGTTGGTAATCCCGCAGCGACCGGGTTTCGCATAAAACCATTTCATCAAAAACACTTCCCTGAAATTCCCCATATTTATTTCAAGAACAATTTCTCCCATTTCATGCAAACCCAATGATATGTGCATGTATATATGTTCCATACATTCAATATCATGGCATTTAAAATTCTACACCATAAAATTAAACATTTAACATGTTCAACATCTCCCAAGTAATTATTAACACATTAAGATATAACAAAATACATTTAAGCATGCTTTACACATAAAACAACTCACATTCAAATACATTAATTTCTCTAGACAACATTTAAAATAATCATTAATACAATTAACTTCTAATTAAGCATGTTTGGCACAACAAATGATTATAACTCACAATAGAACAAGAAAGTAGTGGATTAAGTTGTCTCTACCTCAAAAGTGAGCCAAAAACCTTAAAATGGGTCTCTAAATTCGAGCTCCCAAAGAGGACCAAAAGCTGGAATTTCTGGTACTAGCACGTAGAGCTCGTCGTGCTCGTCATTTTGCCTCAAACGGCACCTTAATCCGATAAGAGATGAGGGAGAAATTAAGAGTGAAAGCTTGCAAAAGAAAAAGAAAAAAAGAAATACAAAGAGGCAGAGAGCTGCGAGACAGAAGAAACAACAGAGAACAAAAAAAAAAAAGGAAAAAAAACGTGATCTTATGACCACTTAGACTTGTGGGTCCCAAACATTTTTTTTTCTTTTCTTTTATCTTTTTCTTTTGCCTTTTTAAGTTACAGACATTACAATGAATTACCAAAAAAATCATAACCAAGAGAAGGGCAAAAATGGAGGGAATGGATCCAACCTCCACATAGGCAATGAATAATCAATGGTGACCGTCTATCATTCAACAATGCATGTAGGGGCGCGGCCAGTTCCACCCTCTATAATATATATGATTTTTATTTTATTTTTTTACATATAAAATGTTATATTATGGCCCCCTAAAATTATTAGTTTTCAAATTTCTCTCAAGTTTTTTTCTTTTTTTTCTCTTTTACTCTCTAAATGTTTTTAATTACTTTTTAAAAAAGGTTAAATTTCCCAAATTCAATCATGCTCTAATTGGTTTCCTTCAAATTTTGTCATTTTTCTTTCTCAATTTTTTATTTTTTTATTTTTATTATTTTTTTTTTAATGCCTCCGAATTGAAATTTTGGCTCCGCCCCTGGACACATGTACCAGGGATAATTATACATACATATATATATATATATATATTTGTCCATGTAAAAGTATGATGTATTTGCATCTGAGCCAACGCACAGATCTTACCCTAGTCCCACCACCCACTCAAACTCCCAACTCCACTCAATCCCCAGGTCATTTCAAAGCTATATGAAGCCAAAGAGTTGTTTTGAAGTCCACATTCTATACCATTTGCTAGCTATTGTCTAATTTGTAGTAACAGAGCACGACTAAAGAAATATATACTTAAAACCCAAGAATAAAATGAGCAGATGGTTACAAACCCTAGGGTGTGGCCAACCCCGTTTGTATGGGTCCTATAGGATAACGAAAGGATGATGACGACGATGGTTACAAATCCCAAAAAGTGCGTGTGTGTGTGTGTGTGAGAGAGAGAGAGAGAGGTGGGGAAAGAGTGCGCTGGAATCCACTTTCTTTTTCCAGAAAATACAACAGTTTGGGGCATCTTATCCTGAGTGAGTGCCGCTTTCTATGATTCTCCTTTTTCTGTTCCACTGGGGATTAAATCAGTGGGAACTCAGATTACAACATCATTAGAGAGAAACATGAAACACGTTCCATATTTTCTGATTTAGAGAACTTCAGAGCCTAATTGAAGATGTGTTAAGAACAAAATTACATTGTTTTATATCAATTAATCATGGTATAGAAAACCTAATCACATACACAAATTCATAAATAAACCCTAATTGAACTACTTGCGGATTTGCAATTATACACATACACACTTATTCTTACAAATACATTTAATGTACTTTGAGGAAGAAGGAGAGAGGGAGAGACATCCTAATCGAGCAAAGATAAGAGTGAGAAGTGAAACTGATTTACCGTGAGAAAGAAACTGAACAGCGAACAGATTGTCAACAAACCGATGAACTTGAGGACGGCCATGAGGTCTGGTTTAAATTAGGAGATAAAACAAAAGACTTGGATTCCCAAAGTTCAAACTAGTGTCATAAGTTGAATCTTTTACAAAATAAATTATGTCAGTTAAGATATACTTATGATTTATGTTAAATCAATTCAAGTAATTTAATAAAAGTTAAGAAACTATACCGTGTTAATATTAAAAAATCTTTAAAATATATTAATCACATTAATTTTTTCTTTCTCTCTCCTCTTCTCTACAATAAGATCCATTGGTGACTTTTTTTTTTTTTATTTGTTATTTTATTTTTATTTTTTAAAAGTAACTTGTTATCAGGCCTTAAAATTATTTTTTTACCCTAAATAAAAAAATGTCTTCAATGTTTCACTTAATTATGAATTTAAAATATTTACCGTATGAGTTGATTCTTCATTACAAAATAATAATAATAAAAATAAATTTATTTTATTATTATTCTTATTATAAATTACTAAAATAAATAGAGCTTATTATAAATTACTAAAATAAATAGAGTTACTAAGCAATCTTATTGTAAAGAAGAGGAGTGAGAAGAGGAGTGAGAGAAAGTTAACTTCCTTAAAGTATTCTAAAGATTTTCCTATCTTAAAAATGTGTAGTTTCCTAATTTTTGTTAAATTACTTTGAATTGATTTAATATAAGCCATAAATATGTCTTTAAATGACACAAATCCTAAAACTAAACCTATTCCGTTTAAAATTTATTTGTTTGAGTGTGAAAAATTACAAGACGAATTTTCAATTTGCTTAACGCTTACTCTGTATAACTTTTGTCCTCAAATATTATATTTTAGGTTCCAATACTTATCTATACTCTCCTAAAAAAAAATAATACACTGTTTATTCAAATTTATAATCAATAGTCATGCAACCCCTTTGACCATTGTTATGATGCAAAAACTACACTCCCTCCCTACCAAAATAAGTGTCGTACTTTCTTTTTTTGTTTTTTTTTCAAACAAACATTTTTTAATATATGTCGTTTGAGTTTAAAATTTCAAACTTGAATATTTAAATCTTAAAAGGTCAAGTTAGTAATTTTTCAATCAGACAATGCATGTCTTACGTATTTCCTTAGAAATTACTACTCCATAAGCAACACTTAAATTAAAATGGAGAGAGTATATAAATAAAAAGGTTAAGTGCAAAAAACACCCCGTTAGATATAAAAGGTGCCAAAAAAACCTTACTAATTTTTTTGGTGCAAAAAAACTGGGCTGATTTTTTTTTTTGTGTGGTGCAAATTGCCCCCTAATTAGCCATTTTGACCAAATTAATCTTTTTAAATTCCAAAATGCCCTCTTGCTGATGTAAGCAATAATTTTATTTTATTTTTCATTCTCTATCTAATTATCACAATAATTGAAGTTTTAGTATCTTCTTTAATTGCATAAGCCAATTTTCTATTTGTGAAATCTCCTGTTGGAGCATATGCCTCAATAGTCGTGGTTAGTATCTCCGGTAGATTTTGGGAGTGTCAGACTTCTAACCTTTCTTGCCTTGTAAAAAAAAAAATTTCTCCCTTTGGAGTTAAAAAAAAAAAAAAAAAAATCTCCCATTGGAGTTGGGTTCTCCTACACCAACAAATCCTTTGATCTAAATAAATTCGATGATGGGTTTGTGGGTAATTCAATAATTAATCATATTTTTAAATTCCAATCTGGATGATGGGTTTGTGGGTAATTCAATAACTAATCATTTTATCAATAATTAATCATTTTTTCTTATTTGTTATTTATATATTTATATATATAGCTGAGGATGCCTACAATTTATTTTTCTTATATATATATAGCTGAGGATGCCTACAATTTTATGGTGAATTGGTTGAAAAGATTTTCACAGTTCAAAACCCATGATTTCTTCGTATCAGGAGAGAGTTATGAGGTAATTGATTAATATAGCCTAACGGCCCTAACCTCAAGAGTCCATTGACCAAACAAATTTTCGACAAAAAAAATTGGGTGCCTTTTTTACAACGCCAGTGAGGACCAAGAGCCAAAGTGGCGACGGAAAAAGTCGGCCGGAAGTTTCAACGAGGGCAATGACCAGCAGATGTTCCGGCGACGGCGAGAGAAGGCTCCAACGATGAAGATCCGACGGCGAAGTGATTTATCAATTATTCTCTTGCATATATCCAGGATCATCCTCACCCTTGATTTATCAACAATAATAAGAACGAGATCAAAGAACCCATGAAAGAAAGGAGAATCCTTGCTTGAACATATAAGGACAAGATGAGCAACTTGGTTGCATAGGTGATTGAGAAGTACGGTCACACTCCCTTATATTTGGCAAAAGGACTTACATCTTGAAAGTTCAAAAATAAAATTGATCAAATTACCATTTAACTGTTTAGGAGATTTTTTTAACTTTATAATTTAATAAATTGGACCAATTTACACTCATCAACAATTTATACATAAAAAAAAAAAAATTTATATTATTGACTTTTTTATTTTATTTATTTGTTATTTACTTTATAAATGTCCTAATTTTTAAAAAATGTAGACGTCTAAAATAATTTTTTGATCCAATACATATATTTCAAATAAATTATATTTTGTTATTACTTTTTTTCTTTTTATTTTTTATTTTTAAATTAAGATGCTTAATTCTTTCATCTAAAAAAAATTAAACTAATCTATTTTACTTAAAAATAAAAAATATGGCACCAGTATAACTTTATGCATCGTAAATTATATATCAAACATTATGCATTTCACAATATAAAAAGGAAAAAATAATAATAAAACAAAAGGAATAAAATAATAAAACAAAAGCATGCATAAAGTTAAGAGGCATAAAATTATACTGGTACCTATTTTCTTTTATCTTGGAAAATGCATAATATTTGATATATAATTTAAGATGCATAAAGTTATACTAGTACCATATTTTTTATTTTTAAGGAAAAGAGATTGGTTTAATTTTTTTTGATGAAAGATTAAGCATCTTAATTTAAAAATACAAAAGAAAAAAAAAAAAGTAATAACAAAATATAATTTATTTGAAATATATGTATTGAATCAAAAAATCATTTTAGATGTCTACATTTTTAAGAAGTTAGGACATTTTTATAAAAAATAAAAAAAAGTGAACAATATAAAGTTTTTTTTTTTTTTTAATGCATAAATTATTCATGAGGATAAATTGGTCCAATTTATTAAATTGTAAAGTAAAAAAAGTCTCATAAATGGTCAAAGGGTAATTTGATCAATTTTTCATGTAAAAGGGGTGCCCCACACCCTTTTTTTTTTTAGTGGATTTTGCCAAGAAGATTTGAAGAAATGGAGGAAGGATAGATATTGAAGAATAAAATAAAGGGTTAATTTCACTCACATCCCTTCAAGTTTGGCCAAATATCACTCTCAAATATCTTTCAAAAATTACTAGGATCCCAAATCTCTTTTCCCTCATTTGGAAGCTTACCTTATTCTGATTTTTTAAATAGAGACACCATTAAAAAAAAAAAAAAAAAAAAAAAAAAAAAAAAAAAAAAAATGGACTTAAACAAAGTAAGTTTGCTATTCTAATCTGAAACAATGACTTCCTAGTACTATTGCATTAATAAATAAAGCTATCTATTGTCAAATTTTCTTTCATTTTCTCGGTGTTTGGCCGGTAAAAAAGCAGTGTTGGTTCCGATAGAACAGGATGGGCGTGCTAAGAATTGCAGTAGTTCCAAAGAAAGATCCAAACAATATTCTAGAAGAAAGATTGCGAGACTAGGCGATTGTGAAGAGGTCTGGAATGAACACCTCTGGGTTCTTTTTGCTTTTGATAAAGGACTTCGGGATGGTTAACTAGTTAGGAAGGAACAAATTACTTGAGAAAGTAATCGACTGGAAAGTAAAATTATCTAATGTAAAGTAAAATGCAGGACTTAGACTAAACATAATGAAATTGCATTGCAATGTAAATAAGAATTTGTATTGAAATGCTGTGTTTCGTTTGGCGTTGAGCCAGCCTGCTAAGTTACAATATCATGCCCTATTTATAGAATTTAGTAATGGTAACTTGCATATAACCGCTTATTTCTTAGGCTGCCATGTGTCCCATGACTTTGCGTGTAACCACTTGTAACCGCTTGCTTCCTTAATGTCACGCCCCGACAATTCCAATAAAATCCTCGATTTATTCAAAATCAGATACATCAAAATATACCCAGGATCATAAAAATTGCCCCATCTTTTATACAAAATCAATTTCCTCAAATAGACAAAAAACTCTCCAAAATAAATCCTCCACGCTGACTCTTCATCCGAAGCCTGTCTCTAGCAATCCCCGTTCGTCCTCGGTACTTGAAACTGGAAGGTGGTGAGACAAAAGTCTCAGTAGAAAAAACCATAACAAGAATCTCATGGAGGTTTAATAAAACAGTTTCAAAACATAAACATATACAGATGAGTATAAACAAAATAAATCAAAACATTTCATCAAAACATTTCATAAAACATTTAATCAAAACATCCCCATACCATTCAAAGTATAGAGAACCCTACATTGAAATATATTAATTCCCCACTGGATCATCAATCCTCAAACTCCGGCCTCCTCTGCAACTCTCAGCTCCTCTGTCCCTCTTTCAACTCACTCTGTTTCTCTCTCTCTAACTCTCGGCTCTCACTGTCTCTCTCTAATTTTTTCTCTCTTCTGTCTCTGCTTACTCTCTGTATTCTTACGTAGTAGTGCACCCAACACACAATTAAATAGGCCAATTCACCGACTCATCAACAAATGCTAACCACACACAAATATCAAAAGACAATCATTAATTAATGGACCCCGCAACCCATAATTTCTTTCCTCATAATTTTCTTCCTTATCACATCATATCTGTCAATACACCAATATCACACTCCACTCCAACAGACTAACCTACGTGAAGAAAACAAAGACCAGAAACTTTTTGGTCACAAAAATACATTAGTGGGACCCAAAAAAAAAAGATCATCACAATCCTATTTCCCACCTTTTTCAATTCTTTTCATTTCACAAAAAACATGGAACACAATCTCTCACCCAATAAGCCCACGTGAAGCCAAAGACTTTTGGTAACAAATGGGACCCGCCATCACCACCTTTTCCTTTTCTTCTTCTCTTTCCAAATTTCAGCACCCATTTCAACTCTTCAGCAAACAAAACATATATATATATATAACAAAACCGAAATCCCATCCAATATCTTTTAGTGGCCCCAACAAATACCATCACAATTACAAACCTCTTTTCCCACACTTCGACTTTCCTTTACACAGCACGCACACCAAATATTTACTATATAAAAAACCACCACACCACACCTCCACAAACTATAAATGAATGATTAAATAAATAATAATAAAATCTAGACTAAAAATTAAAATATTAATAACCCAAAATCACCAATAAAAATAAATAAATAAAAAATCAAACTTAACCAAAAATCATAAAATTTAAAATCCTAAAAATCCATGTTGTCACACTTAGCTGCCATGTGTCTTGCTTCCATGGCTGCCGTGTGTCCTAAGACTTTCTAATGGAATGTCGTAGTACCTTTCCATTGGAATCGACTAACTTCCTAGGCTGCCATGTGTCCTATGACTTTGCGTGTAACCGCTCACTTCCTAGGCTGTCATGCGTCACATGGCTTTGCATGTAACCACTCACTTCCTAAGCTGCCATGTATCTCATGACTTTGCATGTAACCACTTGTAAACGCTTGTTTCCTTGGTTACCATGTGTCCCAAGACTTTCCACTGGAATGTCGTAGCACCTTTCCATTGGAATTGACCAGAACAATCTTCCTTTGGAAAGTGGAAAAATAGGGTGTAAACATTGCCCCCCAAATTTGATGTGTCTGATATTCTTTGAAGAATTGTAAGGCATATCAAATTTTAGATGTGAGTGAGAATTTGCCATATGATATTCCTATTGTTAAGGAATTGAACAATTAAAACTTTTCAGCCGGAATGTACCATTGGGCCAAAAACTTTAAACAGCTTTAACTAAGACGAATATTTGAAGCTTCACATCCAATTTCGTTGCCCCCCGGGGTCTGGAGGTTTATGAGGAGGACAAATTTGTATATCTTCAGGCCAAATACATAGTTGATTGGCCAAGTTTTGCCCCCATAAATCACAATATGTGAATTTGGGACAAATAAAGTAATAGCATTTTTTTTCCAAATTTGGAAGAAAAATACTATGACATTTATATTCTTCAGGTGGAAGAATATACAATGATTGAGAAGCTTATGCCGTTTCCGAAGGAAAATCTAGCTGTGGAAAATCTTCTTCCAATGGAATTTAATTGTTTTATTTTATTATTTTTTGGTGCTTATGTGGCTATGTGTTTAGATAGTTTCATGTTTTAAATTTAATTGAATTAAGTGGGTGCTTAGGTGTGTTGTTTAAATTAAGTGTTGTGTAAAATTATTTGTTATTTGATTTTGATGATGTATTTGTTAAATAAAAAATATGTATTTTATTTTATTTAGTTTTGGATTTTGTATCAGTTGTTTCCTTCCAGTTTGGGATTTTACTAAGGATCCACTAGGATGGATTACCGAGTTGCATTAGAAATGGAGAAGTTGGATGTATCAGAATAGTTTTTTATTTATAAAATTTTATTCTGAGGATTAAGTTTTGGTTTATCGTTTTAGTTTTCTTTCAGCAATTTTATTTATTCCTATTTATCATAATTGTATTCTGTGTTCATTTATTGTTACTTGTTTTGATATCCTCGGGAATTCGGGCGTGGGCCTGACCAACCCACATCAAGATATCCGGGGGTATCACATGCTTACATTGGCAGCGAGGGCATTTTGGAATTTTTAAAAAATAATTTGGTCAAAATGGCTAATTAGAGGGTAATTTGCACCCAAAAAAAATTAGAACAGTTTTTTGCACCTCGTGTATTTAATGAGGTGTTTTTTGAACTTAACCCTAAATAAAAATATAATGATTTGTGCGTGAAAAATGTAATCTCCTTTTCATAAATATTTCATTTTCATAAGTTATTTATTTTGGAATTTTTTTCATAAGTTTTGACATTAATATTCATTGTTAAATTAATATATTTCTTCGGTGAAATTTAGTATTTTATATATGTGTTTCTATTTTAATATAATATATTCTATAATAATATTATGTGTAAAAGATATTCAAGGCAAAAATATAATATATATTACGTTCAAATTTCACCTTTTACATTTAACAACAGTCTTAATAAATTTAGTACTTAAAATTACTACAATATCAAACAAGTTTTAAGATTAATACATTCTAACACTTACAAATCCAAAGCTTAAAATTTAGTACTTGAAATTTTCGATACTTAATTTTTAGTTTTATCAAACAGCACCTAAGTGAATAGTATTTAGGTAACACTAGAAAACATATATGAAAAGTGAGTAAATACATGAATATGTTGTCGTGAACAAGAGTTCAAAGTGGATGTGTAGTATATTTCTTGTTAATAATAATAATAAAAAGAATTTGTTGTCGCGACAAAAAATAATAATAATTAAATATAAAAATTATTTACTTAGAGAACAACTATATGTTTGTACTACAGTAATAATTTCTTATAACATTAAAAAAATTCTTTTCCTTTAAAATATGATAAAGTTTAAACAAATTATACAGTTTATAAAGTTTAAACAAATTATAAAGTTTAAACAAATTATACACTCTTGAGGTTTGACTTGTGTGCTCAATAACCGTGATTTCACTCATTAGAACCGTGAACAAAATTTTATAAAGTGACCATATTATCCAGATAATAATAACCTTATGAGTTGTAAGTAAATGCGGAATAAATCCATCGGATGATACATACTGTAGTATTCCAATGAGGGGTGCACTTTTACGGTTGTGGTGGAGGTCGGCCATGGTGGAGCAAGTGAGTTTCAAAAAAAATAATAATAATAATAGATGAAAATGTGAGGAGAAAAATAATAATATATAGTTATATTATTTTTTGACATATCCCTAAGGTATTAATTTCTTGTTTCTTTAATAACATTTTGAATGGTGAGGAGGAAGTAGTACTGACTACGCTATGGCTTTCGGTTAATTTTTCAATAATTAGAGATTAATTTTAGTTCACGGATAGTCTTCAATTAGTAGTATATTTCGTAAAACATTGAAGTTATAATTATTGCACATGCAACCAAGTTGTAACCTGTTTAAAAAGACCAATCACAACCACAAGCTTTATGTGGAAAACATATCATAACTTGGATATAATTGAGAGGCATTGAGCTTCTTGTATCATGCATATACCCTCTTCTTTAATAGCTTAAATATATACTACTACTGCAGTAAGCACAAATTAGGAAATACCAATTTCTTCATATTCCATCTTGATCATGGCTTCTTTTTCTGCCGCTGTTCTCTTACTCCAGATCTTTGTATGTTTTGAAGCGGTTGTTGGTGCTGCTCTGCAAAAGCACTCCAATTCGATAAGCCCGGGCACTTCTCTCACCCCCATCACTCAACCCAATTCATGGCAATCACCTTCCCGCCGTTTCGCCCTTGGATTTTACCAGCAAGGCAGTGGGTTTTTAGTGGGAATTTGGTTGGTGGGTGCCTCACAAAATATTACAGTATGGACTGCTAATCGTGATTACCCACCGGTATCCTCAAATGCTATGCTGGAATTCACTACCAAAGGTAAGCTTCTCCTGAGAACAGGGCAAAGTGAAGATAGATCAATCAGTACTACTGCCTCTGCTTCGTTTGCTTCCATGCTCGACTCTGGAAATTTTGTGCTATACAGCAAGGATTTCGTTGTCATCTGGCAGAGTTTTGACTTTCCTACCGATACCATTTTAGGAGGCCAAATTCTTCCAAATGGGCATTCGTTGTTTTCTAGTTTTTCTGAAACAAACCACTCCACTGGAAAGTTTCGCCTCAAGATGCAGTATGATGGGAATCTGGTTGCATATCCTGCAAGTACAGAAGATATATCGGTAGATGCTTACTGGACTACGACTTTGAGCTACCGGCGAGGTTGTACTGCTTATACAAGGTGTCGTGATACTTTGAACCCCCAGTCTCATCTTGATCTAAATAGTAGCATTTATCTAAATAGTAACGGTTCACTGCTGCTCATCAACAACACTGATTCCACCACAATCCAATCATTGAGTCATTCATCTCATAGCAACAATACAGTGGTCCACCGTGCAACCCTTGATATTGATGGAAATTTCCGATTGTATTCTCATCCCAGTGTCAACTCTGAACCAGTGATAGAGTGGAAAGCAATTGACAACATGTGTGATGTGAAGAGTTTCTGTGGTTTCAACAGCTATTGTACCTTGAATGACAATAAACCTTACTGCAGTTGTATTCCAGGTGCTGATTTTCTTGATCACGATCAGCAGTCTACTGGCTGCGAGAGGAATTTTACCAAATTAACAAGGTGCAAAGACGGGAAAAAAAATGAATTTTACGACATTATTACCATGGATAATCTTAAATCGGAAGACCGTCCTTACTATGAAGCAGAAATGACCAAGGATGACTGCAGCAAGTCCTGTTTGGAGGACTGTCTTTGTGACGCATCAATTTCTAAATCGGGTTACTGCATGAAATTCATGCTTCCACTGAGATATATTATGAGGCAATCAAGTGGTGCTGAATACTCAAGCAGTACTATATTCTTCAAGGTGGGTACAAAAAGTATTAGAAGCAACAACCATATTCCTCCGTATCCACAATTGGTGGTGACCACAAGCAAGAAGGCATTGATGATAATTCTTGTTCTATGTTTGAGCTTGGTTACCTATTCATGCTTTGCCCTTGCATTCTCAGGCCTTTTCATTTTTAAACACCGTGTTTTAAAGTACAGAATGCTGTTGGAAACTGGAAGTTCTGGCTTAATTGAGGAGTTCACCCTGAGGTTATATTCTTACAATGAGCTTCGAAAGGCTACCAATGGCTTCAAAGAGAAGTTGGGCCAAGGCTCTTTTGGAACAGTTTACAGAGGAGCTTTGTACAAAGGTAAAAAACTAATTGCAGTGAAGAGGCTAGAGAAGGTTGTGGAAGAGGGCGAAAAGGAGTTCAGAGCAGAAATGCGAGCAATTGGGAGAACTCGTCACAAGAATCTAGTCCGGTTGCTTGGCTACTGCGCAGAGGGATCAAAGAGGCTTCTGGTCTATGAATTTATGAGCAATGGGTCACTTGCAGATCTTCTGTTTCGGGCTCAAAGGCGCCCAGATTGGACTGAGAGAGTGAGGATTGGACTGGATGTTGCTAGAGGGATCCTTTATCTACATGAAGAGTGTGAGGCCCCCACCCTGCATTGCGATATAAAGCCTCACAACATTTTGCTGGATGAATTCTGGACTGCTAAGATCTCTGATTTCGGGTTGGCAAAGTTATTGATGCCAGATCAAACAAGGACTTTCACGCAGGTCAGAGGGACTAGGGGCTACTTGGCACCCGAATGGCAAAAGAACATCCCAATAACGGTGAAGGTTGATGTCTATAGCTATGGAATAGTGTTGCTAGAAATTGTATGTTGCAGAAGGAACATAGAAGTCAATGTATTAGAACCAGAGGAGGTTGTTCTTTCCAATTGGGTGTACAAGTGCTTTGTCGCTAGGGAATTGAACAAGCTCGTGGGCGGTGAAGAAGTTGACAAGAAGATATTGGAGAACATGGTAAAAGTGGGACTATGGTGTATTCAGGATGAACCGGTTCTTCGTCCTTCAATGAAGAGCGTAGTGCTGATGCTGGAGGGGATTACTGACATTGCCACCCCTCCGTGCCCAACTAATAGCTCCATGTAATTAATATCAGAATTCACTGTAGTAGTTTATGTATGTTATTTTGCTGCTTTCATGTAACGCCTATATTGTTATTCTGTACTTCTATTTTCCCTTATGATGTAAAAGCGTATAATGCAAGTGCTATTATAATTGTAACTAAACATTTTGTTCGACTCACTCATATATATATGTATACAGACTTGTATATGTATGCATTAGTACTATGTGTTGGAAATCAAAACTCCGTTGGAAATCAAAACTTCTTTTGGTTTGACACAGGAAGCCCATATCCTTGAGAACATAGTGCGAAGGAGCTAGCAAGCTTTTTCACTTGTTTGAAGGGGGATGTTGCGAATCTTATATGCCACAGGGGTAAGGGTAAATAGACTTATGGGGGATAAGGGTAAATAGGTCTGAAAATATATGATAATCCTTGCATGCATTAAATATTACAATCAATCACACATTGAAATTTTTTTTTTTCCCTTCCCGGAGAGTACTAAATTGATATTTATTCTAATTATTATCATGCTATATTTATATGCAAATTACATAAAAGTGGCGGTGGGGGATTGGTAGTGGCCACTTCTTTTATCCAATCGTGACAATGTATTAAGTCAATTGTTTCCTTAGTTCTTTTATTCTTACTAATTGATTTTAAAATTTTGACCTCTTACCCAAAAAGAATAAAAGCTGACAGGTATATTTGTTTCTTTTACTCTCTTAACTAGGTTTAAGTCTTAATCCGTATATGGTTTTAACTGTTAATATCATTAGGACAAATTGAACTGTTGAATCCAATCCAATCCAATAGGGAAGAGAACCAAACTAGATTTGATTCTGCAAAAATACAGTAGGATTTAGGGGCTTTTGGTTTAGTTTTATTTCTTTCTCACTAGAGTGAAACCAGAGTTAAATTGTTAAGCTGCTATGAAAATTATTGGAACACTCAGCTGATAGAATATTTCACACATAAAAATTTCCTAAATTGTTTTATTAATCAGATTAAGTCCAAATAGAAGCAACCGTTTATATAGGTTCTCCATCTCACATAGACAGAAAGACAAAGACGCAAGGGAAAACATTGACTATAACCAAACAGATCTGGCTAGCCTTTCAGTCATATGCTAATGGTTATAAACTTATAATATAACCCAACAATGACTAAACCAAATTACAGGGTGAGACTCGGGAGTTCTTTTTCAAGAATCTACTAAACTTATACAAAGTAATTTTAGTAGAACAACAATATTAATCAAAATCAGTTTTGTCCTAGCAGTTGATTGTTGGGATCATATGCCCAGTTGTAAACTACTAAAAAAACAAATGTACATCAGCTCACGAATTATATATATATATATATATATATAGTTTCACGATAGCTAAAATAATATCAGTTTCAGATTTTGTGTACTGCTGAGATTATTGCTCCTTTGGATGTTACCTTGCCAATTTTTTTTGTCCTTCAATTTTTGGACTGACATGCATGCACTTCTAATTAACCAAAATATCCCTATATGACTCATTTTAGTTGACCAAAATATCCTTTTTGCTAATGTTACACAACTGCTACAGAACTAGCAGATGCTAGTTAGGTTTTAATTAATTCATATAAAGTACTGTACAAAAAATCAAGTTGCCAACCATAATTTCCCATAATATGAAAAGGCTTTCATCATATTCTCAACATGAATTCTTTGATAATATAAATTATAATGTAATGAACAAAACCAGATTTATCCTTGTAACTTAAAGTTCTAAAACCCCAAAAATTAAATCAAATGTTATGATAAATATAAGAACTGAAGCAGACAGATTATGAAATTATCCTGAATTCACCTTATAGCCAGTATATAAGTAAATTTGAAGGATCTTACTAACAAAGGAGAAAGAAACAGAACCAAAAGAGCACTTTCTAAACAAAATGACATCATTCATCCAAACATAAGCTGAGAATCAAATTTATCATCAGAGTATCTCAATGAATATCTTGTATACATTATATATATATATATATATATATATAAAGAGATCGAAAATAAAGAAATAGTTACCTCAGATTTGGCAGCAACTTCCCTTCCGTTTGCTTCTTCAACATAGCAAAAGTTTGGCTACGAGAAAGAAACGAATTCGGACTCTGACTCGCCGCAAGTAACGATTCTACTCGTCTTCCCCAAACCTCTGCAATTCAACGATTCTCTCCTCACCGGTCTCAAAAATTGCAACCCTACACCTGAATCCACCAGGCCTAGACCTTGAGGTCCCCGTATTGAGGCTTGACGAGTGCATTTCCCTCCAGTCCCAGACTCTCTATCGTTTTCCAACGATTTTTCCAAGAAAATCTTGTTTGTGTTTGATCTATGAACTGATTAGTGTAATTGTAGAGAATGAAAAGTGAGGGGATTCGGACCGTAAAGAAAATAAAGTTCTTGCGGAATCGCAATGCTTTATATTCATTTCCAGATGTGAAGTTAGTGGATCGAGCCTGAGACTACCTTGCAACTATTGAGAAATTAGGGTATTTAGGAGATGGCATTTGGTAGACCTGAGAAAAAATGGACATTAGTTTCTGTGAGTAACGTACACAGAGGATATTACAGCTCCAAAAAAAAAAAAAAAAAAAAAAAACGCGCACAGAGGATCGCGTTTCCAACCAACCACGTACCCCCTCTTTCATCTCCCGCCAAAGACTCACAGAAACTAGGGACTCTTCTTGTAATTGAAATTCAACCAATTACAATAAATATTGTATATCTTTTTTTATTTTATTTCCCACTGGTTAAAAATTAATATTGTAAAGTCTCTCGGTGTGTTGTACATAGTTGCTCGGCGGGTGATTTTTACGCCGTTTTCGTTGTTTTGTTAGATCTGCTACTGTTAGGCTTGTTTCTGATTTGACGGGGTAGATCTGCTTTTTGTTTTCCGGCTAAATCTCTTATCTATGTCGGGTTTTTTTGCCCCGGCCTCTATGTGAGTTTTGTGGTCCCGGCCTTTGTGTGGGTTTTGTTTGTCCCTGCCTCTTGTGCGAGGTTTGGGGGTTTCTTCCTCGTCGGCGGCGCCTTGTAGATGCAGCCTTGGAGCAGTTGCCTTGACGATGGCCTAACTTGTGGTTCACTCCCTGCTTTCCTTTATTGGTGGTTTCCGCTGGTGTTTGTTCTCAGCAAATCTGGAACCCATACTTCAGTTTTATTCTTATACTTCATGATTTGTTTGTTGTTGTACGACCATTTATGACACTCATTGTAGATGCCGTATGGCTATTTTTCTTATTGCCAGGGTAAAAAAAAATCGATAATCACCAGAGAGCATTCCACAGTCCCTAACACTCTTTATAAGTCGTTTGTCATTTTTCTTTTCTTTTTCATTTTACTTAAAATTCTATTTTTTTTTTTAAACATGCATATTTAAATAATTTTTTCTTCTTGTTTTATATTTTACATTTATAATATTATTTATATATATATATATATATATATATATATGCATGTATATCACATTGTGCTCGACTTGAAATCCTGATCTAACTTGTAATAATAAAAAAATTCAATTTGATATTCAATACCATTTCATGTCATTTTGAATTATAATAAAATGTATATATTATCCCCACATGTAGTAATAAATAACAAAGTGTGAAAAAGGAGGGGATAAAAGTTCATATTGGAAAGTTGTTTTTCGTCGTTGGGGACTTTTTCAGAGGATGTTAAGAATGTCTTTCTCAATGGTGATTTACTTGAGGAAGTGTACATGCAGCTCCTCCAGATTATTCTCATCCTCCTAATAAGGTGTGCCGACTTATACGTGCTTTGTATGGTCTCAAACAGGCACCGCAAGCTTGGTTTACCAAATCTAGTCCGACTATCTGTAATGTTCTTGAATTTTTGCCATTTTCTAAATTTCTAAAATTTTCTAACTTACGCGGGTATTTTTGTCTTTTTTCGTTTTGCATGCCGAACACTGTGGGATGTGCTGGGGGGGGGCCTAAGAGTTGGTTGGGACGTTTCCTTGAGTTTAGAACTCTTGGAAATGCATCAGTTGCCATTTCGGCATTTTTCTGTTTTTTGAGCTGGAAAGTCCCGAGTGGGACCCGCTACTAGAATTTTCGTGTATGGGGGTTATGGTTGGGTCCACTTGCATCACATTCATTTTTATTTAATGTGTTTTATGTGGTTGTGAATTAATATGTGTATGTATATAGGTGTGTGGTGGGAAATTAAAGGTTAAAAGATTTGTTTTTGAAATAGGGCCCACATTTTTTTCATTTTAATGGCCTAAAGGCCATATCTACCATCAAATCTCTCACTCTCTCTCTCTCCCTCTCTCATGAAATCTCTCTCTTCTCTCAACTTTTCTTTTCTTTTTCATTACACACAATTAAAGCTTGATTTCTCTTTCATCTTTGAGAGATTTTTGATACCGTTTGCAGCAAATTGAAGAGCACAATGAGATCTATGATTTGATCGGAGCCAATCTACGTTTAGTCATCTTTGGAAAATTCAAAATTCTAGGGCTTGAGGTGGAAATTGGGGCTTTTCATCAAATTGAGGTAGGGGTTTCTAATACACAATTTCTTGTGCTTTTGTGGATTTTTACTTCTTAATTTGTTGACTAACATGCTTAATTTGTGAGAATTCATGCTAAATGGTTTAAATATTGTATAAGAAGTTTGTGACTATGTGATAGTTGAAGTATTATGAATAAGCATGTTTACATGAGATTAAATTCTTATTTCATATGCTTATTATGTTGAATCAATGATGATTGAAAAGCATGAGTTCTATGTTTTAGCAATTTGTCTTAAGTAGCATGTATGAAATTTCATGGTTACATTAATGAATAGAAGCATGAAACACTCATGCATCCATTGAGGAAGAAAGAGGGGAAAATGTGTTTTAAAACAAATGGAATTATCTCGGGAAAAGTGTTTTCTAAAAATGTTTACGAAAATCGGACGCCTAGGAGGCGCTTAGTGGTCTGTGGTGTTAATGTGGTCAAGAGGGGAGTATGGTTGAGCTAGTAGGTTGGATGCGACGCCTTGGAAATGCTTTGTGGTCATGGATAGTTAGCCAACTCTTTTTTCATGACGCCTTGGAGGTGCCTTGGGTTGGACTGCACTAACAGTTTGGAAGTTAAAACGGAAATGTTTCGGAAATGAGGAGCGACATTTGCATGGCATCGCACTTCATTGGCATATATGGTGTATTTGTGATTTTGATTATATTTGTCTA